CATTCCAAGTCCCCCCCCAACCCCCACCCCGTATTAGAACAAGACAGAGAGATCGAGAAAATTAATGAACGAGTATTTGTCAAGAAAAAAAGGTTTTATGTGTCCACTGAAAAGAGTTGTTTTATATAACTTCTCTCTTCTAGGGTCTCGGTAACCAATGTCTTTTTGCGATTTCTATTGGAATGTGTTGGTTAAAGGATATTCTTAGTTTATCGATCCGAATTGAATAGCATTGATTTAGTTTTGTATTTNTGTGTTGGTTAAAGGATATTCGCAGTTTATCGATCCGAATTTAATAGCATTGATTTATTTTTGTATTGAAATCGCTTTTCGACTTATGATTAATTCAAGTTAAAAGAAACACGAACAAATCGCTCTATTTTAGTAGTTTATCTACGTGATGTTTTGATTGCATTTTATCGACAAGATTGCTTTGTTTGGCGTTGTTGTTCACTGTCAAATTTTCAAAGTAGTGTAGTTTTTTTTTACCTGAAGCAACATCCGAGACTACAAGAAAGAAAGAAAAAAAAAACGGTAGAGAAAGAATGAGAGTGAAATTACATCAATATTTCATTTCTAAATGGAATTATTACCAGCATCACCGCTACTAGCAGGTTGGAGTGACTCTCGCTGAATAATCCAACAATTTACGGGAGGCTCTTTCTCCTTAAGCGAAAACTAGACACAAGAAACCCGCCTGACATCTTTTAACTTTATTAACATTTTCGTCTACCTTAGTGAAGGGACGCCGCTGGTAGGGAGTTGGCAGTAATTTTCCGCAGCTTGAGCGCTTAACGAGGAGGGAGGAGGAGGGTCTAATTGATTCAGTGAATGTAGAGAATAGTTTACACTGGTCTCCAAAGGTGTAGGTACACCTGAACGCTGTCTGACACTAATGGTGCACCTGTGTCCCTCTCTGAATTATAATTCTTTTATTTTCTTCTCTTTAAGCCTGCTGTTGAGTTTGAAAAACGATTTTTATTGACACTGATAGTTAAAAAAAACTTCAATTATTTTTCTTCATACATGGTGCGCTGAGTTATTTTTATTTGAAAAGATCTCCATATCTTTGGAAATAATAATTATTAAAATCGCTGCTTGCAAAATCTAAGATATCCGGTTCCAAATAAAAACATTTAATATGCACACGCAATAAATAAATAAATAAATAAATAAATAAATAAATAAATAAATAAATAAAATTTAAATGGAACAAAAAATCACTTTGTTTGCTTCAATGACTCATTTCTAAAAATATGTTCTTAAAAGCATCAAGATGGAATAGAATTTCGTCTCCCCCTGTATTTCGTCTCTCTACAATGCACCGTATGACCAAATTGCATCATCTGCGGCAGTCAGGGGGACTAATTGAATTGTAATGGCCGAAAATGATCCAACCCTTCTATAGGTAATCAATAGCTACACAGGGATGATACTTGGCATTTATTAATTTAAGCTGGACTGTGCCCATCTCTCCAGTGATGAGACGCTATCCAATCCTTGTCGTTGTGTAACCGATTTGAATAATCACAGAGATGATATAATGCCTCTGAAAAGAGATGTCAATGCTAGTGAAACGATAATCCGTGCATCCAATTTGCGGGAAATTCGATTCTTCTGACTTTAAATACATTTTTGTTCGGCAACATTTTGACTAATGAGGGGCAGGGAAAATGACGGAACAAAGACACAGGGCTGAAAGTGAGCTTCGATTTGAGTAAATGACCACCGGTTAGCAAGAACAAGTGCGCCGGAGAGGAGGTCAGCGGGGAAGAAATGGACAGATGGCCGAAGAATGTACCGAAACCTCCTTCCTTTTCTCTCCTCTGACAACTAAATCTACTTTCACTTACCGACAATGAAAAGAACAATGCCTACACTAAACGACAAATTGCATTAAGTGAATTATTAGCTCACTTATCAAAATGTTTCAGCTGGGGAGGGGAGGGACACAGGTGCCTAGATTAACTACTGCGCCCTTCCTTCCATCTTGAAAACCATTAAAACTCAAAAGCCAACCAAAAGCCAACAAAAATAACTGTGAAGCGCTTTAAATTGATCTTTAAATCATATGAAAGTACATTTTATTCTGTATGATATGTCACTTGCGATATGATACACAATATCTACAGTTTACAAACCCAAGTTGGTAAAAACATGTATCAAAGGGGCATATTTGGATAATCATAACATTTCCAGACATATTTCTTGAATGAAAAATGAACCATTTCAAAATTCAAAATTTCCATAACATACATGACAGAAAATGTTATCTTCATAATTCACCAGGGCATAAATTAAAAAAAAAGGAAAATAAGAAATAATTTAAAAATAGAGAATTGAAATAATAACAAAAAAAAAAAAACAACCCCACATTGTGTTGGTAAGGTTAAACAAGTGTGACAAGTAAAAAAAAGCAGAAACTGACAGGAAATAGAAATTTAGATAATGCTTCACGCACGCATCAAAATCACACCATAGGACCAAACAAACAAATGATGTTATCAACTCTAGCATAAGTGTTTATTGCTGCTTTATGATTTTTTTTTCAACAAAAGAGACATGAGACGATGCACCATATTTCAGGAGCAGAATACACGAGAGCGTGCTAGAAGAAAACTTTCATGTGAGAAATGCACAAATCAGCAAGTGAGAAACGTTGCAATCTGAAGTCCTTCAGTCTCCATTCCTTGAAAAGTAAGCTCGGCTGGAGTGTAGTCGGGAGAGATAATAGGGCACTCCATTTGAGTTGGTGTCTGTTACGTCGGTATTCAAGCTGGTTTGACGGACTTTTCAAGACTCCGGCATCGTGTTTATTCAAACCGAAATTTTACATGTAAATCTAAGTGACAAGCTTACTGAGGTGGAAGAGGAAGAAATCCAATTTAGTGGTTCACGTGGAGTATATGTATGTTTAGAGCTCTTGAAGATTCAAAGTTCAATAATGGGGCGCGGTGTAAGTTTACAGTCTACATGGTTCGTTTATTGTCAGGAGGAGCAGACGATAACGGAACGGAACGTGCCTTGGCTTTGGTAGACACCCGGAGAAATTAAAACAATAAAAAATGCTTGAAATAGATTCCACAAATTAGTGTTAACACGTCGTACAAATGCAATATTCTTCAACATTGTTCTTTGCACGTGGCTAATACGTGTAAAACCTATGATTATCTAACAATAAAAATTTGGCATTATCATATAATTGTAGCGGCGCCAGTGTAATTTAAACTTTGAATATGAGTCTTTCTCGAGATAGTCGTTGAATCGAAAGTTGGATCAGGTGGGGTCTTCTTTCACAAGTCATCATTATCCGTTGAAAATAAATCAATTTTGAGTAAAAAAAAGGTGCCATATTTCGGGGATCATTCTCACCGACTGCCTCCCTTAGTGGAGCCTCCAACGATTTCGATAGTTATTTCAATATGGCTTCGCTGCGTCAAAGTTGACGCGAGCTTGTGCGATCTTTGCCATTCTTGACGTCTGCCACCCCACGTCTTCTGCACCGAAAATATTGTTCAGTCACCCGGATGGAGACGCTTTTGGATAGAGGTCACTTCATACAAAAGTCGGTTGCGTTAAAAAGTTAAGGGTTGATACAGATAAGACCGCCATGTCTTTATGATCTAGTCCTCACTGATGGCGCATAAAACTACCGACATAAAGGGGGGGGGGGGTGACAGGGGACATGATTTTTTTATCACTCGTTAGGAACCCGTTTATTGGAACACCACTAACATATCCCAAAAGTGATGATTTAAAAATAGCTTATATGAGATCTGCAATTTGTTGTCAGGGATACACTTGCTTCCGAATATCTATAATTTATTCTCTGCGTTACGTTAGGACTTTCTGACGCTTTTTTATGCGTTTCATAACTTTCAGAGCACTTTTCCCTGATGTATTTAATACTAGCAATCTCTGGGATCCGTTAATGGATCTATCTCAGTATCACCTCGCGGAAATTAATACAAAGTAGCGCGATTACTCTATCGCATCACATTTCCATCCAATTCGAGGAAAAAGTCGTTTTCTTTTACTGTATTTAGATTTTTGCATGTGGTTTGCTATTGTCAGAGGAAACAAGATTGCATTTAATGTTTATCTTCGAATAAACATAGCATGCTATAAAATATTGAAATAATATCTTCATCTAAACAAACCAGAAATCCATCAATACTGATTTACAATACAGAAGTCTACAATTACAGGCAGGAGAACTGCGCTGTCATTGCGGTTCATAAAAACATGGAAATTCATCCAATTTTTTAAAATATCCATATTTACTCAAATGTGTTTTCACTGATACCATACTGAAACCTGCTTTGTCCAGCAGAGGGCAAACACAAGCTAAAGATTACTCATGTCAGACAGGCGTTAATTTTGACAATTTTTTTTTCTTTTTCATTGCGAATGGAATAGTTTTGCAATTGCTTCCTACAACCTACCTACTGCCTGTAAAACAGATAACAGGAAATAATGACTGATGTTGCATTACAGTAACAAGATCGGGTATGCATTTCTTTATAAAATGTATTTTATTTCACAGTGAATCTGTTCGCTTTGAACAAAGATAAATAGAGCAAACCCGCTCGTGATTGGAGAATGCTTTTACTGGGTAATAATAATTGGCGTGGATGTATTTTTTTTTTTTTTGAAATATTGAAACATATTTCAAAGAAAAGGATAGGGTGGAAGTTGAATCAAACTATATTATACTATATTCAACGCTTGTGTAAAGCACGGTGGCAAACTTTTTAAAGAAACAATCGGTCTAGGACCCAAATACCACTTACGCCAAGACAACTCATTTTTTTACCCGAGATAAATTAACAGTTCTCATGTAATCATAATAGAATATAGAACAATATGCGTATATTTACAGCAACATATGTACAAGAAAATATTTTAATTGTAAATGCTCATGCACTAAAATAATGAAAAATACATATTGGCAACGAGTAGAAAAAAATCCCCACTATATATATATATATATGCTATTCACAATAATTTGAAAGTGACATAAATACAAAACAAAAAGCTCTCTTCTTTTAGAAGAATATATATGTTAAAATATGTGCGGTCGAAACATCGGATAGATCTTTAGAAGTTGTCAAAATAGTTTTCATGTATTTCCCTCAGTGATCTTAGAAAATGGCAAATTATCCATGAGAAATTAAGCTATTTAACGAAATAAAGCATTTTATGGTTTTAACAGTAAATTCCTTTTAAGATTAGCTTAATATCCCAGTTTTTGTTTCCAGTCTTTTTAGATAAACTTTAAAATGCTCCTGGTTTGTTGTTCAAAGTCCTCCATGGCGGCATATTTCTATTTACGCCATTTTGCACCATGACTTGCAGATATCCGACACGTACAACAACAGTCACGTTTCTAAAAATTACTTGAAAATACTGTTTACGACGTCGATGACGACGGGGATGTAGCGTCTCTGACATCGTGTTGTGGGGAGTCTGGCAGTGGGGGCGGGGTCTCGGGGAGATCGGGCATCTCCGGCCCTCCCGGCGATATTGGCGGCGATGAGCATAACGACTCTGACGTTGTGTCCGCTTTGTGGTCGTCGTAAAATTTTGTAGCACCTTCTACCGGCGAAGAAGCTCCCAGCCTACTGTGATGGTGCTGATATCTGGAAAATACCAAATACATGACGTTTTATCTATAACGATAATGCTCATATCAGTGCCTGGTTACAGGGCATATTTTCATGTATAATTCAACGCCATTTGGATCAAAAATATACATTTCCGCATTTATCATTTAATGTAATGAACCGCGATTTACGTTTTAAGCGTGTTACATACATGCACAGTTCCCTGTCAAAATGAAAGGGGAAATCACGGGCACTATAAAACACAATTTACTTCACGAGTGTTCATAAATTTACAGAGAGCCAGTTTTTGCGAATATCTTATTTGCCATCGCGTGTGCTGGCAAGTATTGCAAACGCCACAAAGACATGAATAGTTAATAGCGTTTCTTCTCTTTAATCTACCAAGATGTCAAGTCAATGTAGGCCCCAGCCGGATATATCTGGATCAAAATTACGGATTTCATCGACCTGGAAAATATCCCCGAAAAGCCATAATCTCTTAAGCAGCTCTGACAGTTTTTATTTTTGTCATTTTATGATTTTTAATACTCTCCCGATAATTATTTCGTTGTGATTCAGTAGGTTACAAAATAAAACAGTAGTCGGTCGAAACTGATGTTTCTGTGGGAGGAAAGTTTAGATAGAATAAGGACCGATGCTGCCGATATTGGAGAGGGTAGCAGATATATGCCAGCAATGCACTTTCACTGTTCCATTTCTTGACAGAATTAAAATGCTTCTTATGTAAGAAAATTGATCAGGAGAGGCGATCCGCATGTGTGTGAATTAAGAACAACCTTCCCAAGCAGCCGCTGACGCTGCACTATATGTAACGAGTTTCGATCACACTTAGACACAGCCTTTAGTAATTACATTACACAAGGCTGCAACATAGTTCACATAAAAAAACTATGTGTTTTAAAGCCAAAATACTTAAATGGATAATTTAGTTTTCTGTATTGTATAATGTTTTCCACATTTGTTACAATTTTTCATCATTCATGTTTTGGTATTTTGACGAAAAAAAATGTTCGTCTGCTGGTTAATTTCATCACTGACGAATAAACCTTAACATAACCACAAATGTCCGTGTCATCATTTATGATCAATAGCCAGGCGCGTTCGAGCGTAAGAATTGTTTGTTTTCTGATAAATCCTTCCCCAAATCGCAACGAAAAATTACACATCAATAAACCACATACGAGCCGATCATAATTTACTTCTCACTCGCTGGGAAGCCCACTATTTCCTGAAACCTACTAAAACAATTAGAGAACAATTTTCAAAATGGATTACAGAGAGAACGTAAATTCGATGTATCGTTTAGGCTGTGAAATTACTCGGAAAATTTTCGCCGAGTGATTCACGAATTAACTGCATTCTCACTAATGAAACTTGCATCGGAAACAAGAGCGTGCTGTGAAATTTCCAATTCAACGTGGGATCTGAAATTCATACCCATTAGTGTGAATGCCAAATCTACATTGATTGCTCGCAAATAACGTTCTTATTCGTTTGTCTCTTCGTATCATAAACGCTTCACAAATGGAACATATTTTGCAGAATGCAGTTTGCATTCAAATGCAGCCGAGAGACAAATTTTCTGCAACAGAAGGGCCTGGCCTTAGTGATTTTCTTTATTTTCGTTTTCAATTAGCAAAATTGCTTGGGATAATTACAGTGGAGGTGCAATGCACACCTCAATGGGGTCCATAAACACACAAGGCCCAACGAGGGATAATTTGCAGAACTACGAAAGAACTGGGCAAATTATCTCCCGCTAACTGTCGGTTACGTTCAGTTAATGAACGCATTATTTGAGTAAGTAGTCTTAAAGCTACACACATACGCTGTTTGAAAGCTCAAATTATCAAAACGTTTTCAGATTTTTATGCGGTTCGCTCCGTTGGCGTTGACGCGGAATTGCATGTTATTGGTCTCTCTGAATTTTATCTGACGGGAAGGACTATAAGCTGGGGCCTTGGGGGGGGGGGGGGGTGAGGCGACAGTTGTATGATTGTATGATCTAATAGCCCTGATATTTACCACATTTTCAATGTTGTCTTCTTCTTATTTTGAACAGCAATAGTAAAAAATATTATATGTATCTTATGTTTAGATAAAAACTAGAGTATATACATACAATAGGAAAGGATATTAATTAAAATTGGCTATAATCATTAAAACAATCCCATTCAAGTTTTCATTCACCGCAAATAAAATAGTGCTGTCTCTCATTTCTTTTTTTCCGTTGTAGATAATTAAAGAGCCATTTAACGAAATTAATATCTAAGGCTTGTTTCGAGGAGTGCTTAAATTATCAAAATATTTTCAGTGACCAAACTAGTTTAGCTAAATCGGATAATAACGCTGGCCAAATATGCTGGCAAACGACTTCATCCGTGGCATGGAACGCACACCGTTATGTAAGGTGGTCTTAATTGCCATAGTAATTACTGCCCAGGTGAAATATCTCCAAAAGCTGCTAGTGAGTAAGTTTTCTGTCCCCAGCAGATTACGGCCGGTGACAAATAACAGAAGCTCGTCACCAAATTAGAGGAAAATCCTAACTTAAGATTGGACACAGGTGCCCGCTGAGGTCGGCATGTTCGGGGTGCTACTCGGGGGGATAATGGATCCGTTTTGATAATCAATCACGGCTGATCATTTGAGCAAACACGAGGTTCGATGATACGCCAGTGCCTATCGCGATGTTGTGTAATATCTGGTGTAACGCGTATTTGTCCCTTATATAAACTAAACCATGGTTTGACGCCGTTTATCCTTCAGATGGTAAAATTTTGACCGCACGGGGATAGATTTGTTGACATACCAGCCCTCTGTGATGTGGAAATCTTAGTGTTCTTGTGGGGGCAACACCTACCCGTACTGACCATAACACACTGGGGACCAGAAGAGGGCTTGGCTGATGGCTACTTTCAGGAAAAAGATAAAAGCACCAACTTCAAAGCAAAATTTTTAGTCGAAAAAAAGTAGTATCTGCCAATAGAATAAATTATCAATTAAAAAATATCAACTTAAAAATGAACGTATTTCTAATTTTTCGCAGTTGGTGCGAATTGCTTCTTTTTGAGACAAGTACGTGTACCCATTTTTGTTTAGATTATAAAGATGAATAATGGAAGCACTTCTCTGACGTCAAGTCAGTACGAGACTTCGAGCTTGTAGCTCTGTTACTGTTGTCTTTGTTTGTGGACAGGAGTAACGATAGTTTGCTAAAGGTTCGTAAGTTGGGCTATAGCCTGTGTCTAGCTTTGTCGCCAATAAGGGCGGTAAATATGCACAAGGGAATGAAGCGAAAGTTACTTGAGAACAACCTGACCTAATGTTAACTTAATCAATTTAGGAAAACATGGCCATATTTGCACTGCTGGCCACGAAATTAATTCCGAAACAAACATCATGGACACGCTTCCAAGATTCCCTGGAAAATAAAAATTCTGCCAAATTCACAGAGGGCTGCTGGCGATCGAATTGGCCAAATTAGGACTATGTGGGCTTTTTTGGCCATCTTGATCTCTCAGAATCGAAGAGAATCGAAATTGGTATAATAGTATAAATGATGTCAGAACCAATGTCCAGACTGGCCTAGTAAGCAAGGAAGTGGCGTAATGGACGTATACCTGTCTGAACACAATTAATCTGGGAGATCGTGAAAACTTAGCTGAATAGGTTTAGGAGCAAATTGATACGACTGAAATATGTAAGATAAGCCCCTACTTTCTGTGCGCGAAAGCGGATTTTCATGGTAAAGTCCCCCGCCTTGTTTTTAGGAAACCATTAATATCATTGACACGGAGAGGATTACGACTGACGATCCTAACAAATATCAATACATTTATAGAAGCTTGCATGCGGTTCCTGTGTAATTTAATTTCTAGTCTGTCGTCGCTGAGATCATGCAAGTTCAACTGTATTCTCTCCAGTTTCAAAAGGGGACCAGACAAAGCGCTCCGAGTGATGGTAGAGATGTTTCCTCAGTCAAACTCTGGTGGACGTCTTTGTTAGTTTCAAGCACACACGAACAGGGTTAATAGCTCGAAAGATGGAAAAAGTTGAACCATTTTCATTTGACGTCAATTTCTTTGGCTCTTTGGTAAAGCAGAAAATGGTGCTTTTTTTACATTGTTCTGCGCTTCCCGAGAGTGGTCTATTAGCGATAGAGACACGCACGCGTGAACGTCCGCAGTCTCTTCATTCAGTGGCGCGACTTTTTCTCTCTTTCACCAGTCGCATGCGGCTTGAGTATATTTATATAGTTTACATTGACGTGATCATAATCATTAACTAAGCATTGCCTTGCACACATAAAAGACTGGTTTGAAAGTCTCTTAAAATCAATACAAAAGATAATGATTATGCAACGTAGTTTTTAATTTAAAGATAAGGTTATAGATAAAAAATAGATAAACAGATAAATCAATCAATAAATAGATAGGTAGAATATATATATATATATATATATATATATATATATATATATATATATATATATATATATATATATATACAGAAATAAATAAATGAATAAAAATGTCAAAACTTATATTTTTAAAATTAGAATTATGACATTAATCAATTATCTTTACTGTCCTGTAGAATATTTTATTTGTTATGCGTTCATCAAAACATTTTATAATTAGCACATGCACGCACACTGCTGGTCTAGAGATGTAAAAAAAAAACATTTGAAAATAATATGAAAATTACAACATTTCAGTCCTGCTTTGGATAATATGAAATCAGTAATAAACAAATATTTGCAATTAAAATTTTCAAATCAAAAATATGTATTTGGAACTTATCTCAGTTTCACCTTTTAGAAAAGAAGCTAACTGACAAGGGACGTGAGTGGGAGCTTAAACAAAAGGGCAATTTTAAACAAAGTGATATCACCTTTTATGTTTCGCCTGAGGTCTTGTGGTATCAGATGTGCGTTTTGAACACGTATCACGCAAACAATAGACAGGCATTTTGGATAAAAATGAACATTAAGAGAAATAAGCTAACGTATTTACTTCTACAGTGAATGGAAATAAGTTCAATTTTTCTCGAGTGGGTGGTTTTGGTTGTATTACGGACTACGTCGGTACAGTACGGTTGGCGAGACGTCAGCTACGTATGAAGCCCGCGATTTCGTTTTGCAATGGCGGCGGAAGTGGTAAGTTATTTGTTTTAGAAGCAGTAGATGACTCGCAATGTACTCTCGAGTTAATGAACCCGTAAAGATTAGCTCGGCTGATCGTATGGGATTAGTGTTGTGTGTTTTCAATTACGGTTAAGTAAGAATTCTATATATCGGAAAATGGCGAGGAAACGCCAGACACGTATATCTGTACCGTCACCTCGGCCATCAATCTGACGGCAATGTTGTAAATAAACAGCTGATTGAAATAAATTAATCATATTATCCTATGTGTTTATATTGTTGTTGATTTAATTTTTTCATCAAGTATTAAATATTTTCATTTCTTTTTAGTTAGTGACAAAACGAATAAGATTTTCTGTATTTTTAGAAATATAAAAATAATTATTTCACACTCTTTCGAACACGGAAATAAAACATACATTATTCAAAAACGAATGAAACCTTTCTTTTTTTTAAATACAAAGACATGAATTCCATTTTTAATCTTGGAGAAAAATATTTCTAAATTACAGCCATGTTTCTTATGTAAACAAGTACCATAAGAAAAGACCGACTGTTTTTGTATAGGTTACATTTTTGTAGCTCCACTGCTTTGCAGACTGCCTACTACAGGATTGCCACTTTCAAACTTAGGGGTTGACGGAGTTCAGCTCTTTCCATCTCGCTTGAAAGGAAACAGCGGTTTTGTAGCAGAGGATATTTCGATTATTATCATTATTTTAGCTCCGGGATCGTTTACTTGGTCTGAAAGTAATCCTTATTTGAGCATTACGCAGGAACAATGTCAGTATTTTACAAATTCATTTTCTGAATATTTTGACTCTCAGTTCAATTTCAATGAAAGGAGGGATCCCTTGCCTAAACTGCCGTATGAAAACAAAACGTGCTTTAAAAGCAGGTTAAATCGGAGGTAAAACATGCTCGAAGGGGTGGCGAGCCAGATTTATGACAAGGTGCGTTATAGTATCGTAATCCCCTTGCTTTGTGTTGGTTTCCATTTCATCTGAAATTTATCTAACATTTGTGAGTCCCTAAGACCTTTAATATACGCGGTATTGTAGTAGGTAATACGTAATTTACTTAGTCGTTAAGTCCCGGTACCATCGCCTCCATGTACACGTAACAGCATATTTCACCTAATTGTTCGCTCTTTGTTGTGTACCATACCTAACACTTTTATTTCACTGACATTTCTTTTTAAATATTGCTTACACCCGCTTTCTTTGGTTAATTCCTTCACGGCTTTCCCTTTTCTTTCTTTCTTTTTATTTAATTATTCATTTATGTTTTTTTTTGCATGAATTTAAGTTATGATTTTATCAACAACGTGAATATATTTTCAGTAAATTGTGTTGAATATTGCCCACAGTGACTCAATGATAATGTGCCTAACAAACAACATTCTTACTCATCGAATTCATCGTAAGTAATGGAAACATCCATATTTTACAGAGGCGAAGAGGAAATCTAAGATCTAATGACATTAATGCAATATATAATATTCCTACCTGTTTTTGGCAGCTGCGGCTCTGTCTCTCTGTCTTCTGTTTTTAAACCAGTTGCCAACTTGGGTGGGGGTGAGCCCTGTCGCCTGCGCCAGCTCACGCTTTTTAGTCGGATTTGGGTAAGGATCTTGAAGATACCATTCTCGTAATAGATTTCTCGTTCTTTCTTTGAAACAGTGTGTCTTTTGCTCCCCGTCCCAAATCGTGCGGGGGAGAGGAAACTTCTTGCGGACCCTGTATTTATCGACGGGGCCAAGGGGTCGGCCGCGAAGTTTTTCCGCTTCCTGGTAGTGTGCCTCGAGCCACATAGCTTGTAGCTTGGCATGGGACTCTTTGGTGAACCTGTGACTCTCCAAAATGTGGTAAAGTTCTCTGAAGTTTCCCGTGTGGAACGACACCAGGGACCGGGCCCTGAGCACAGACTCGCTCTTGTTTAGAGCCTCGCATGCTGCCGGGTTGACAGGGAGAGACCACAGAAATCGCCCCAGTCGTTCAATGTCCCCGCTCTCCTCTAGAGTCTCGCACACTCTTGCCACTTGTTCTGGCGTAAAGTTGAGTGTAGGCAGTGCGAACATCATGGGCGCCGCGTACAGCCCGTGAGCAAGGCTTGTGGGGATTGTCAAACTGGTCGGTAACATAGTCGGTAATCTAGACTCTACTGCACCATATGCATAATTGGTAAGACTCTGCTACTGATAGCAGCCTCACCACACTATTATACTCGACTTTAGTCAGGCTAAATACAGGGGCGGAGTCTCCCAACACAGTGAGGTGTCACTCCAATCTGGATCTCATCTTCTAATCTCTAGCTTATTTATCAACTTTGGTGTATTGTTAATCTCGCTGCGCTCCCATTGGCTGAGCGCCTCACCTTTGACCCGTTGGCATAGCGACGCTGTCAATCAGCGATCGAACCCTGCCAATCACAAAGCTTAGCGTATACATACTGTGGATTAGAGGATAAGATTTACCTTTTTGCTAAAATATTTGCATTCCTACTGTTACAAGTGCGTTGTCGCAATAATTTAGTCTAAATGGGTAGAGACCACAGTGGAGACAAGTTAGAGTAATGCAGTTTTTATAAATGAAAATCAATGTGTACGTATGCAAAGATCTGTTTTGTAATAAGAAAAATGAATTGGAATACGTAGAATAAACCGACTGGTAGATGGTAAAGCCGGGCTGTGCTTGTGGCGCACTGGGTACGTTAGACTCCAACTGATTGAAATCAAAATGACAGAAAACCCAGCTAACTCCCGCGAGAAGACCAAGTAGAGCCAAACTTGAAGGAATGAATCGATTTGGGATTTGACATGCGTAATAATTACAGACGTAGGGATGGGGTTTCTTTGCTTGTGTTTTTTTTTTATGCTACAAATGAAAATATTACCGGGATTTACAGATCTGGAATACCAACGCTTGAATTAAAATGAGGATGGAAAATAAAGTTTTGACGAAGGATCTTACCAATAATAAATTTTATCATAAAAAGGTAAATTTTCCTCCATCATTTTTTATATCTAAACATTTTAGAGAAGCGCGAAGAGCTGTTATATTTCAGTAATTCACCACATTTAGAACATACGCATGGGTTCTTTATTTGTCTTTGAAGTACATATTCACCCTGCAGTTCGGACCGGAATGATCTTCACTCTCAAGCAATCTTATTTTTTAATTTTTGTAATATACGTTTCTTTGCACTGTTCTCTTCAACAAGCACGTCAAATCCGATCATTCCCAATCTTGTTAAATATTACACATTTTTGTAAAATGCGTTTCTTTGCATTGTTCTCTGACACAAGCACTTTAAATCCGATCATATTAAAATAATTTCCAATCTTGTTTGTATCTTAATTATCTAAGATAAATCGCCCCTATAGAAATTTCATTATATCAATTTCAAACAAGTATTTAACAAATCACACTACTAGTTTTTGTTCTTTCCTTAACTTTGTCACCGATACACCTGATAGAAAACAAACATGTCAACGAGTTCACCGAGATAATATCTAATCTTTCTCTTGGTGCTACACTTACGTGTGACTAATTCTACGTAATACATGTTCTAATGCCATCCCGCATTGTGCTCTTCCCCCACCCTCCCTCTTCCCCCTCCCACCTGTAATGACCCTCGTTTATCTTCAATTGTATCATCATTAACATCTCGAAGATAATCAACGTATTCCGGCTCTCAGATTACAGGTTGAAAGTTGACCAAACTTTGGCAGGTAGTTGAACCGGCGTTACTGGGCCGGGGGGTAGAGACCAATTGACACCTTAATTAAATTTCCGTGGAATTACACTGGGCTCTATTCAGATGCCACGCGCTTCACGAATACGGGATGACCATCTCGTTAAGAGGCACAGACAGCTCTTTAAGTATCATCTTTCGTGAAATGCTGTACCGATGTCACCGAGAAGATTTGACTCGCATTCATGGCTACTGAACAGTTTTCCATCTTCTTCAACTTTTATTACACATGGTTACGCGGTGAAAGAGACATAGCCGATAATGGTATATGATAACAGTGTTCTTTGGACGTGGATACTACAATATGCTTTGAATGCGCCATGATGATATCTTCTCTCTCTTTCTCTCTCCCCCTTCACCTTTACATATCATTGTATAGAAAAGCGATTCTCGACAGGAAATTACCCATGATCTTTGTCTGATGGTTTAAGATTATTGACAAGATAGACATAAATATATATATTAATATAGACAATTTATGGAACTCCTATAGTTCATTTCACGTGGAATTAATTTTTGTACAATGCCGCGTTAATAATTGAGTTGACGTAAGTTTTGTAAAATGTTACCAGACCAAATTATTATATCCTGTCTCGGCATTTATACCCCAATGACAATTAATTTGGCTTTTAATGTCATTTTATCAGATTTGTTTTAAACAAACAAATAAGAATATTAATAGACATAACTATGAGAAGCCTTGTTTTTGCCGTTATTGCACCTTTTTTTTCTGCATTTGGACATTTTTTGAAATTTGAATTTTAAATTCATCAGAAACAATCCCCGATTGTTTTTCCTAATGTGTTTTTATATTTAGAAATGTTACCTGAAAATTTATTCATAACCCTTTTATTTCATTCAATTATTATTGCAATATTATATCATAAACACAAAAAAATCAATAAATTCATAACGGGCCAGTATGTGATGGCATTTAGACAAAACTTTTGTGTAGGAAAATGTATGAACATATTTTGTCCTAGTAGGAATCTATCTGCTTGTTCTTGGGAAATGAGTCCGTGGAAATGAAGCGCTTGGTTTCTGAGAATGTACAATTGGTAATTGTGTTTTTGACATTTTAAACAGGAAAATAGAATAAAATGAAAGCTCCTTCATTCAATGTATTTGAATACCCCGTCCTCTGAATAACCGTCTACAAACAGGACTGTACATAACTAAAGCTCCCCCCATCACCGGTCTGCCTTGGTCTAACTAGGCCCAATTTATGATTAAAGAAAGTCTATAGGGCTTTGTTTGTAACTGTAATTTTGTTTTTTTTTACTCTTGCTTCTGTGCGTCGGATGCTCGAGAGAACACAATTGTGCTGCATCTGATCTGCAATGAAAACTTTCAACTTTGACTAACACTTCAATCAATTTATGGTATAGTATTTTTGGTAATGGATTCACCTGTTTTGAATGTAGCGCGATGTTGTCAATCATATACATGTATAATGTACCCCTTGCGTATAAATGTCGTAAATGGTAGTGGAAAATATTTCTTTTATCATCATTACCATCATAAGCGTTTTTTGACAAACTGTGTTAATGTTTGGATGACCCGGTGCTAATTTTATAAAGTTATGAAATGCCTACTTCAGGTTCACGTAAAACGAAATTGCCAGAAATGAACGTAGATGTTCGCTTGGTGTAAGCCATCTGAATAATTTTCTTCTTTTTAAAACGCATGCTCATAGATTTATTTTGCGTTTTGAAGTAGTAATCGGTAAGCACTGTAAAATTGTTGAATTATAATTTAGCCCAGAATAAGAATAAATAGCTTGATGGACATCATTATCCGGTATTTCATGGTGTTATTATTGACTTGAAAGAATTATCCAGAGTCAATGGACGCAAATCTGATTATTAAAATGCGTAACCGTACATAGCAACGTTTGATATCCAAGATACATTTACGTGACACGCACACTATTGCCAAGAACTGTAGCATCAGAGTGAAAGGATTACACGATCTCGCTTGCTGGAAATGTCATATTCAGCATTGTATTGGCACGCCTTGTCACCACCTTAATTTAACAATATGACAGATGTTAATACCCTCGCAATACATACTCTGTTAATATATGATTTATTTTTCAGTGTTCCGGATTTTTAATCCAGGAACCGAAGGAACGCCCAAGAGTGGAAAAAAGAAAACGATTAATTATTATAATCATGATGCTTGTTACGCTAAGAAATTGCGTTTAATATAAACTGATATTTATTGATCAGTTATTCTACTTTTTCACGGTTTGGGGTGAAAATGTCAGAAGTTGGATAGAATTAACACGAATCAACATCGTCACGGAATTGGTTTGGGCATTTCTTTTCGTTTTAAATGGTTCTATAGCTATCGTGTGCTAGCCTATCTGAGATTAAATCTATGAGCTAAATAAAAATATTAGTTGAAATATAATTGCTGTATAACCTTAGCAGAATCCTAACAGAAACATTTTATTATACTTTTCCATTTAGGTTGTTTCAGAAAAAAAGCGTCTGACACATATTTACATATGTAATCTCAAATACATAATGTATTGATTCAAGATTTGTTACACGAAGGATAACATCCAGTGAAGGAGTCGGTTTCTTGGTTTGTTCGCTATATTAATCGGCCTATAACAGTAGGAAACAAATAATTTTGCAACTTTCCATTTATCGTCAATAGCAGATAGCAGTCAATAAAGGAACTCGACACTAGACGCAGTAGAGGCCTAATGGGAATTCTCTCTTTATATTGGTTAAGGTGTTCGTACCAAGTTTTAACACACTGATTACATATCAGAGTCACTCAGTGTAAGTTCGTAAGTCTCCATGAGTTGACATTATGCACTGTCTGGAAAAAACATACTAGAACTTGACAAAATTATATAATCATGGTAAAAAGTATGAATCATTTTTTTTTCAGCTTCATTAATTTTTAGGCGTTCAAGATATCAGGTGATCAGAAAATTCTTCCTTTTCTCTCTCCTGTCTATTATAAAGCATTAGTCATACGACCGCAGGTTGCATTTCTTTATGCCAGAAAGCCAGTTTCTCAGCCAGATTTTCTATCCTTTTAGATAAAAAAAGTAATTTAGAAAATGTACTTACTTGAGAAATACACTTGAACAAGACGCACTGAGTCTTAAAAATCAGCACACGGTCCAAGATTACAGCGTCTGAATTATACAATATCAACAGCTGTGAAGGTCAGATTTGTGCATTAGAGTTTGGTGGCACCGGGTTTACAAACAAACAGGCCGCCATATCTCTCAGACGCTCACCGTTCAACGAACATGCGATTAAAACACATGTGAAACAGCGCGAAAAACAAAAGACCTGGAAGGGATTGGAAGGGTCGTCTTCCAGGCCCGCGTCTGTTACTGTCCGCCACACACCTAAAATCGCCTTGTAGTGGACTTACTGACCGCCCGATATGCCGTAACCAGTGCAGCCTGCTGAAATCAACTACAAGCATCGTCCTCATGTTTGCTTATCATTCGCTTATTCGCTTTAATTTTATTTGTTATTATATTGTTTATAACATACTTA